TTTGTACCCAAGAAACTAAAGAGGGTTAGTTAAAGGGTCTTTCTCTATAATGAACACACATTAAATGCATGCTTCTGTTGCAACAATGTCTCCATGTGTTGTGTGGAAAGTACATAAGCAGGTCGTACGTCCACACACGTCCCCCTGCAGAGCTACTCTGGAGGACTGATGGAGCACCGTCACACACTCCTCCCTGCTGAAGTGCAGTCAGTTCTCTGCAGCTGTTTTTGTTTGTTTGTGCATCCTTTTCAGGGTCGTGGGGGCGCTGGAGCTTCTCCCAGAGGCGAGAGGCAGGTACACCCTGGACAGGTCGCCCGCCTGTCGCGGGGCTAACACATGGACACAATCATTTGCACTCACATTCACACTTGGGGTGAAATCCCACACAAACATGTTGTCCTGCTAAAGGGGCAGTATATTCAAAACCTATAAGCTCTGTTTGACTTATTATTTAAATAACTTTCTCAATATGACCTGTTGGATTGTTGTGTTTCACTAACACTAAACAATCTGCTTTTGCTAAATCCGGTTAGGCAGGTTATGTTTTGAGTAATGGGGAGAAGTCCCATTAGTCGAGTCCATGTTTGTCGTGGGGGAAGGAGGTTTGTATGAAACATTCGTCATCCTTCTGCTCTCCCCTCGGCCTGAAGCTGCCTGTGTTGTTTCCTGAGAAGTGCTAACCTCTCCGCTGCTTGTCTCTGTGGACAGAAATGCTTGAGCAAGCCAAACTCCAGCCCTTTGGCATATTTGTGAGCTGGCAAGCACATTACATCCTTTCACTGAGGTATCCTCCTCCCAGCAGTTAGACTCGGGCGCTCTGCTCTCACAAACCCAAATGGATTTCTATCTCAGTCATTTTAGTTAAATTGCCCTTCAGCCTTCTGCAAACGTCTCTGAGCCAGACACCATTTCCTCTCCATTACTGATAGTGACTGGAAGTGATACTGAACGAGTGGGGCTGCGTGCATTTCTATACACATCCACTCATGAGTGCTTTTCTGTTGTCAGTCTCTGGATGTCTAAAGCTTTGTTTCTGGGCTCAAAGGCCTCAGAATAAAGAAGGTCAAAGGTCAAACACCATTGCACCACATTAAAGGTTATTGTTACTCACTTGAATATGATAATGAAGAGTTGTTATGTGAACATACAGCTAATAGGACTCCGGCTTGCAGGAGAGGATGGATCTTTCGTTACCTGAAATATCCTTTACACTCCTGTGTGAATCTAATGTGTTCATATGTATTATTCTTTCGTACTGGAGGGGCTCGAAGCCGAGTGTGAAGCGCTGGGAATGAGAATCAGCGCCGTGGTCCTCAGCTGGGAAAAGGCTTTGAGTGCCCACTCCGGGTCAGGATGAGTTCCTGCCCTGGAGTTTAAGTATCTCGGGGAGAAAGGAGCTGGAGACGTGTCGGTGCTGCGGCTGCAGTCCAGAGCTGAGCGTTCCTGCTAATCACGACTATCACGACCAGAGATGGTACTGTAATCTGATTACTTATTTCAAGTAACGAGTAAAGTAAGGGATTACTATTGCAAAAACAGTAATTAGATTACCGTTACTTTCCCGTAGGAACGCTGCGTTACTGCGTTACTAAAACCGTGATTTTTTTGCGAGAATGTCTCATGACAGTGACGTAA